TATTTATTTATTTATTTATTTATTTATTTATTTATTTGATTTATATCCCGCCCATCTGGTCTGGTCGACCACTCTGGGCGGCTATAATGAGTTTGATGGGAGCCAACAAAGTACAACTTTATCTGGTCTAGAAAGCTTAGCCAAGAATTGATATTCAGCCTGTTCCGGATAAAAGTGCAAGTGTCTCTGACAGATCAGGTCTATAGAGCAAAGATCCTTTTAGTCCTAGTCCTGCCACGGAAAGGGGAGAGCATGGCCAGGAATGCATTTGCTGCAGGAACAGTTACAGCCTCTTCCAAAGCAGCAGCAGCGTCGTACGAGACCTGGCCACCATCAAACACTCTGGCTCCACCCTGGTTGGGCTACTGCAATGCACTCTATATGGGGATTGCATTTTAGAGAATGCCTGGCTCTGAAAAATGCTGCCAGGTTGTTAATGGGGGCACAATATTCAGCCTGCATGCAAATGCTGCTGTTTAATCTGCTTTCTCTTCCAAGCTCCATGAAAACTCCATTTACCTTTAAGACCAACAGAGTTCGTGTCCAGGATGTCTGAAGACTCACCTGCTACCACACTATTGTGCCTAGGTATTAAAATATTCTAAGGAGATGTTGCTATCCATCAAGTACTCACTTGGTGAGTACATGGAACCAGAGGTTTTTTGAATCACAATCCCTGAAATCTCACTGTCAACATTGTTAGTAAATGTTGTAGCATAGCAAAAGCAAGCAAACAAAAAGGTACAGATCTCTAGATAAGGGCTTCTTGAGGTGTTGCTGAAGCTCCAAAATCACCTCACAACGATGGCTCTGATTCCTCTTACCTTTTACCTCCCAGTCTTCAGAAATGTAGAACTGCTTTGTTTAAATATTTGTGTGTGTGTGGTTAGTTCTATTTTCTGATACTATCAGAACTGCATTGCTTAGCGGTCATGGTTTTTAAGACTGATTTCCCTGTATTTCTGAGCTCTTGGGAGGACTTAATGGAACAGAACAACAAATAAATATATGGGAGAAAGTGTCGCTCAGTGATAGAACACATGCTTTTCAGACACAGATTCAACTCCCGGCATCTGTGGTTATAAGGAATCTCTAGAAGCAGTTGCTAGGAAGAATTATGGCCTGACATCATGGACAGTCACTGCCAATCAGAGTCTGCAACAATGGTTAATCCAGCTTCTCATACAAAAATAAATACAGATTTTTATATATTTCTATAGACAAGAGCATAGGCAAGGTTACAGAACATTCCCCATGCAAAAAGCAGCTACAGAAATATATCCATGGTACACAGACTCGATTCTGAATTCTTTGTTTTCTTACATCTGAAGTCAATGTGATCATATGATTATTTCCCCCTACATACCGCCAAACAACCCTCCTCCCTATACAGCCACCCATCTGTTGCCTTCTTCCTAGGGCTAAGTTCATTATATCTCACCTCCCTCACGTCATCTCATCTCAATGGCAACAATCTGCTGAAAAGTATGCACTCTTTAAATTGTATGTTCTTTCAGCAACTCAAATAATTCTTTCCCAAATATTTATTGTCCCCAAAGGCAAGTATTTTCTCTTCTTCATTTCCTAAATAAAAGGTATACTGAAGGTGGAATTCAGAATAAACATCACTTAGCAAGCAGCAGCTTCATTTTATATATAAAGCATTGTGTAATAAAAAGCAAGTCTAGCTTTATTAAGATCTTCCATGTTTCAAGAAGGTAGATAATTTTTTAATTGTTCTCAAAACCTGCCCAATAGCTCTAATCAAAATGGTTGGTCAATGGATTATAGTGTACAAATAGCACTACTGAAGGACTAGGTCCATCATATCTCTCACTTTCTTAAATAACATCACATATGTTGCAGGGAAGATGTTTCTGCTTCAGCATTCACCTGCTGCCTTATACCAAGGTGGGTGACATGTGGCCCTCTAGATACTGATGGACTGTAGAGCCCTTCATCCCTAGTCACCAAAGCAAGTGGAGAGGAGGACAGAAACTGCAGCCTAGCCTCTGGAGCCAAACATTCCACAGCCTTGATTTATAGTAGCTTAACTAAGCCACATATCTCTACCTCAAACACTTTGTAGAAATCCATTACACCAAGAAACAGACTTTCCTGTCTTCAAGCCTTTCTAGAAGGCCAGTGCTACCATTACGCAGAGCAAAGCAGCTGGCTTGGGAGGTGGCTTGCCAAGCACGGCAAATCTGTTGCTCCCTCCAGGTTTGAAAGGCTGTTCCTGCTCTGAAGAACTACGCTGCGCATCTCCCTCCAGCAGAGACCAGGCTGCTTTGGCAGCCAGCACAGGTTCCTCACAGGAACGCGCAACTTGAGGAGGTGGCCTCCAGAGATAGGTGAGGCAGTAGCTGCCACCATAGCTGGAGGTCGCTTGTGCTGTTTTTTTCAAAACTCCACTCATTTTCTCTGTTCTTGCTCTTCCTCTTTCACTGCCACTCCTTAACTCTCCATTCCCTCCTGACACTTTTCTTTCCTCAGCTAAGCAGATCCCATGGAAGAAAGAAGACGAGTGAATCAATGTCTAGTGAAAAAAAGTCTGGCAGCAGTTCATCACCTGCATGTCATTTCTTCCTCATTCCTTCATATAGCCGCACCAAATCTCATCTTCCTCTTCTGGAACATACAGCTCTGTTTTAGAGCTGGGCCAGCTTTCTGCAGCCGCCATAATGCCATTCTAGCTCCTCTGGAAATGGAGAGTCAGGGATCCACTCAATGTTGGGGAGGCACTGTGTCTGACTGATCACCTCTTCCACTCCTCTGGAAATGGAGAGTCAGGGATCCATCTAATGTTGGGGGGGGGGCACTGTGTCTGACTGATCACCTCTTCCTCTGACTCTATCCAGAGCTTCACCTGATCTGCTAATTGCTTTTGAGTCCCTGTTGTGGCTGAGTTTTGCATTTGAAATCTCACATACTGTATTCCCGGGGGGAGGAGAGTACTTTCATGATGGGAAACTGCCATGAAGTGGAGGAAGTGCTGCCACAAGGGAAGAGTGGCACTTTTTTCCCACTTCAGACAGCAGGAAATCTCCAGTTTCCTCTGCCATCTAGCCATGCTTCATCTCACAGCATTACACAGCAAGGTGATTTACTGATCTGCTCCATTTACAGGAGCAGCCTTGTCACAGTCTGTCTACAGGGACCATTTCCCTCCTAATAAGTTCCTGAAATTGCTTGCCTTGAAGAGTAATGGAACTAACGTCATGCAGCATGCAGCTACTCTACAGTAACGTCTTATCAGCCTGCTGCAAGACAAGGTCATGGTATCAATCTGAACGTTTAGACAAGAATAACAGTGCACCAAGAGCATTATAGCCATCCCCAATGTTAGACACGTCTTTCAATGAGGACAATATACCATCCTCTATTGAAAGACATCTTGCAGCTGGAGAAAAGTAAAACACCTCAGCCAGAGCTTAATACATTTAATAGGCAAGTCTTCTAAAATGTGTCAGTCAGATTTCTCTTCCTTAATAGGTTACAGAAAGACATGATATACCCAAATTTTCTCTTCAGGACTTTTATGACAAAGGGATTAGTTATTACACTGTGTCTCAAATCCACAACTCCTATTTATGCCACCTTCTTTTTCCACTCTGCAACTTACCCTAACAATCAAGATCCACTTAATGAGAGAGAGACCAAATCCAGAAATAGCCCCATATCTTCCTGCTGCTGAAGTAGTCAAGCAGAAAGAGAGGAAGAATCCAATCCAGTTGAAAAGGAATGCCACTGAGGAAGCAAAAAAGAAGACAATGTCTCCCTGCCCCTGATGTACAATGGAAATCAAATACTGTAATTGATTCAGATTTCTATTATTTACTGTCAATATAATCCCTTGAAAAATTACCATTAAAGGTGCAATGAACACAGGAAACAAAAATACTGCTTGTTGCTACATGACACTGCTCAGATTAAAAACAACAAAAACACTTTTGTGGAAAAAGACGGAAAAGACAGCCTTTGAAGAATTTTATGCACAATTCCAAGCTACTGGTATGATCTAAGCACCAAATGGCCCTCTCAAGGGAAATTACCTATGACTACTAGTCATTATGTAACCCTGTAGTGGTGTAGTCAATAGAATGACAGTGTAGGGTTCAGGAGGCCTGGGTTTGAATCCCCACTTAGTCATAAAAACTCGCTGGCAATGTGGGACTGGCAAAACCACTTCTTAAATATCCCACTGACCTTGAAAGTTCTATCCGGGTCTCCATAAGTCAGTTTCAACTTGACAGCAAATAACAACAACTGGACATTATAGTCACATGCAGCTCCCCAGTTTCAAACACTGTATGCGTCTCCACACTGCTCCATACTGGGGAGCAGTAACCGATATGGAGAGGCACACAGTGTGTGTTGGAAATCTGGCAGCTGCATATGACTATAATGCTGTCTTCATGTTTTCCCAGAGCCATCTGGTTGGCCACTCTGAGGAAAAGGAGTGCTGGGCTAGATGGGAGTTTTGGTCTGACTCAGTAGAGTTCTTCTTATTCTGATATAAGTGGAAATATCTACTCTCCTCCTCCATTTTCCCCTGTCAGTTCCATTCCTCACCTCTTCAATATAACTTGAAAAAGATCTCCCTGATCTCCAGAGGCTGATTTTGACTTACCACCCAAACTCCCTTCCTTACAGATTGGTATTAAACCAAGTGATTAGAAGGTGGTGCAGAACATCCCAAATCACTGCACAACCATTCTTAATGCAAAATGGCTGATTCAGGTTACAAGTCCTCTGTATCAGCAGCAAAGACATCATTTAGGAAATTATATTACTTGCAGGCAGGAGAAAGCATGTACCACACCATTAATCTGGATAATAAAATTCAGAAGAGTCCTACATAGATGGACTATCTCAAAATATGAAAGTAAAATATTAGTTCAATCTTGCAAACAGCTCCTTTAAAATGTACTTACTGAAGAAAGTCAGCATGAAAATGCCATCATTTCCTATCCTCAGCTGGTCAGTATCATCAAAATCATCTCGTGCCACAAAGTCCTCCTCCTAAGATAGAAATAGATAATGATTACTAGCAAATTCTGATGGATGTTACGCGACTTTGTGATACAGAGAATAGAAGTGCAACAACTGTCAGTGCAGAACACTTCCCCCACTTCCTTTTTCAGTGAAAATAATACAGTGGTGCCCCGCAAGACTGGTGCTCCGTTTGATGACGAAACCGCATCACAGTGAACTTTTTGCAATCGCTTTTACGATGTTCCCTATGGGGGAATTTCACTTTGCGATAATCGGTTCCCTGCTTCGGGAACCGATCATCGCAAAGCGATGATTTTTTAACAGCTGATCGGCGGTTTCAAAATGGCTGCCGGGTAAACAAAATGGCCACCCGCTGTGTTTTCGCACGGATTCCTCGCTGCACAGGCAGCGAAAATGGCCACGCTATGGAGGATCTTCGCTGGACGGTGAGTTTGAAGCCCCTAGGAATGCACTAATCTGGTTTTTATGCGTTTCTATGGGCTTTTTAAAATTGTATCACAACGTTTTCATTCTACAGAGATTTCGCTGGAACGAATTAACATCGTGATGCGAGGCACCACTGTATGTATGGTATTTCATTGTATTTTATTGTATTATTGTATTTTATTACTCATGCAAGTCGCCCGAGTAGACTTTGTCTAGAGGAGTGGGGTATAAGTTCAATAAAGTAAAGTCCATAAAGTAAAGTCGTAAGAAATCTCTCAGTTCCTTATACATAAAGGGGGAGGGAGGGGGGACAGAGGGAGGGAGGGAGACTGCATAGGTAAAAAAACAAGAAGAAGGAAAGCAAGGAAAAGTGAGAGAGGCAGCGAAAATGGCCACGCTATGGAGGATCTTCGCTGGACGGTGAGTTTGAAGCCCCTAGGAATGCACTAATCTGGTTTTTATGCGTTTCTATGGGCTTTTTAAAATTGCATCACAACGTTTTCATTCTACAGAGATTTCGCTGGAACGAATTAACATCGTGATGCGAGGCACCACTGTATGTATGGTATTTCATTGTATTTTATTGTATTATTGTATTTTATTACTCATGCAAGTCGCCCGAGTAGACTTTGTCTAGAGGAGTGGGGTATAAGTTCAATAAAGTAAAGTCCATAAAGTAAAGTCGTAAGAAATCTCTCAGTTCCTTATACATAAAGGGGGAGGGAGGGGGGACGGAGGGAGGGAGGGAGACTGCATAGGTAAAAAAACAAGAAGGAAAGCATGGAAAAGTGAGAGACTACTACAAATTTAGCATCAAATGTATATTCCCATACATTACAAACAGGAGAGAAAGGATCACATATCATTTAAAACAAACAAACAAACAAACAAACAAACAAACAAAAATAAATATAAATAAATAAATAAATATTCCCATACATTACAGACAGGAGACAGGAGACCACACTTGTCAAAACACAATATAAGCTGAATTGATGAACCATTATCATCATCATTATTATTTATCTATACACTGCTACCAGTGTACATGGAGCCTTTCAAATTCACTAGTATATTAATGAGACTTCTCATGGTACTGCACTGATTTCACTACGCTGTTAAGAAGAACACAATGCTTGTCTAAAAATATACAAGGATCAGGTTATGTTACACTACGTACGTGCTGTCAAGTCAGAACGGACTTATGGCAACCTTAATAGGGCTTTCAAGGTACATGAGATATTTTAAAGACGTGGTTTTACAAATGCCACACCCCCAATGAACTTCTAATGGCTTTACAAATGCCACACCCCCAATGAACTTCCAATGGCTAAGTGGGGATTCAAACCCAGGTCTCCTGAATCCTAGTCTGTCACTCCCATCCACTGCACCACACTGGGTATCCCACAAAGATCATATGCCAACAAAATTACAGATTTCCACTCATTGAAGTGTTTTGATTTCTTCAGAGCATATTAAAGTACATAACATCAAACGCACATACCCTTCCAGGAACTAAAGGAATAGTAGCTTCTGCCTTAGTCCTCTCTGCTTCATCATAAGTAGGCAGTGTTGTGGCTACATTATAAGAAGGGGGTTTAGGAAACCCAGACTCATCTTTGTAGTCAAAATACACTGAAGGTAAGAAGGATAGAGAAGTAAGTTAATGTTCAGAGTAGTTAACAAATTAAAAGTTACAACCAATGATCTGGAGTATAAGTATGTTAATGTACTGAACTGTATTACAGGTTCAAGAAGTTTGCATTTCTTAAGTCTACTTTTTGCATCTGGAAAAAAATGTATTCAACAACAACAAAGAATCTGGTGGTATTAAAAGGAAAAGATAAATTCTGTTACCAATTTAAATGTGAATTATGCAAAATAAGTAGCGACCATTCAGATATTGATTTGTTATTCAGCATCATCCTCCGCATCCTGTTTCAAAATGACAAAAACAATGTTTTGTTTTCAGGTCTAACTCTATTTGATATGTGAGAAAGGTCTAAGAATCCAAATGGAGCCTGTTAACAATTTTTTTAAAAATGAGTTTATGAGGTGCAGAGGTGTTGCCCTAAAAATGAAAAGTTCTTTTAAAATGTGTCTCAGGGCTCTTGCCTTTCCATTGGACCATTTCAGCAATGTGGAGAGGGGGGATCTGCTGCTTGGGTAACAGCCTATCCTCCATATTACCTTACCCGGGCTTCATGCTCTGGAGAGGACACTCCTCGATTCAGAGCATGTTACCATAGTCTCTCGAGACTGAAGGATGCCTATGCTATGCAGAGAGGTACATTAAAAGAGAAAGTATTATTGAAAAACTACACCTGCGATATAGTTTATGTTACAAAACCAAAACACCCTCACTTATTTTGGAACGCAGAACTGATAACAAGGCAGAACTAGCTCATTCAAGTTTATGCCAGTTTTCATGAGAAAGAGTAAATAACAGAACACTTACATAATGTGAAACAGATAGAACAGGAAAAAATAGAAATGCTACACCTGCGATATAGTTTATGTTACAAAACCAAAACACCCTCACTTATTTTGGAACGCGGAACTGATAAGGCAGAAGTAGCTCATTCAAGTTTATGCTAGTTTTCATGAGAAAGTGTAAATAACAGAATACTTACATAATGTGAAACAGAAAGAACAGGAAAAAATAGAAATCCATTTTAAACTGCATTTTAAATTTGTGTTGTGTTTTACCTATGATGTTAATTAACATAGAGATATCACAAAACAGATGTGGAAACCTGTGTGAAACAAAGGAGAATAACAACATATTCTACAACGGAAGCTTTTACACCTTTAATTTTTTGGATGTGTTATTTTTACGAATGGAACATAGAAATGATGTAAATAAAGAGAACTTGTATAAAATTAACAAGGTTTGAAGTTGCCTGGAAATATTCCAGCAAAAGAAAGTCTGATTATGAGGTACCCAGATAAGTTTGGAAAAGCTTGTCACTTATTGTTTGCTTTCATTCTGGGATTAACCCTTTGCAGGGATAATGTCAGTTATGAAGAATCACAGAAATTTTTCTGTGCCTGGGAGGTCTATAAATTTATGTAGGATTCCTAGAGGAGTAAGGTATCAGGTTCTGACAGAGCTCATCACTGGAAGAAAAATTACAGTTGTAGCTGAAATGGGGCATTTTATAGAGATATGAGTATTCACAATTGTGTCAGTGTCTTTAAAAAAAACATGTACGGAAAACATATGTTAGCATTCTTCAAATTGTATAAAGGCCACAATATCAGATTGACTCTCCTGTAACAACCATTAGAAAACGAAGAAATACTAATGTTTCCTAATACCAGTTTTACTGTTTCTTCTTTTTCCCCTATAAAACTAACAGCTTCTAAGGGCAAATACAGACTGTGTTCATTTGGGCTTACTCCTAAGATGTACAGTATGTACATACCATTGCAGTGCACAATACTTATCCTGAGATATAATTGGTGAACAACATATTATGAGCATGATTCAGATAAAAACGGAATGAAGCAGAATGTCTAGTTTTGTCTTACACAATCAAGGTTCATTGGTTAGTAAATAAAGAATAGATAGAAGATGGATATTAAAATCACTGCACAACTAATAGTAGCTCAGCAAGGCTTTAAGGCCTTTTATTCCACTCTGAATGCAGTATGTGTAAGAAATAATCCCTGCATATAGTCTCTTCAAACCTATTCATGTTAATTGACTTTGCAAAATGCAAAGTTGTAACAGCTATACTGATATCAATTATGAATGTAATCATATAATGAATGTCACTCAGAAGAAGATTACAGTATTTTGAGTCATCCTACTAATTCTACACTGTGTGTCAACGTGAAACTTGTATGATTTGGGACTTTACAGGATGATCATAGCCTGTCATTACAGCTGAGTTCAGCATGTTTTCAGAAGCCATAGAGACATAAAGAAGGATGAGAGAAAGATACTTTCTTAATGCAGAAAGCAATAATTAGCCACCATCTTCAAATACACTGCACAGGTAGAAGCTCTGTTGTTAGAACCAAATTTTTAATAATCTATAACAATGCCACCCTGATTTGCTGAGCTTGAGGTTACATGTCAATTAAGGAAGGCTCTAGTTCTCAATTTGTTGATTATGTAACCTCTGTATTAGTGCAAATGCTAACAGGAAGCAGCAACACCTGCAGGAGAAAGCAAGCTGTCACTCTCTTACTCCCTTTTCTTGATCTACTGCTGGCAGCAATACAGTATTCATAGCTATAAATGAAATGTAACATGAGACAGACAGCAGTGTTTGATAACTCTCAGAATTAGACCCCCTGTCTGTGGCAAAAACACTGGAATGTAAAATAAATACTACTTCACAGAGAGAACAGATTCATGCAGTCATGATTTCTTCTGTGATTTTAAGCGGTCTGCAAATAACTTTGCTAGACTTCCAATAATCAACAAAACAATTCTAACATCAGACATCACTGGGCGAGTTTGTTTTTTATTTTTTTACCTGAGTTTTCTCCAGAAATGCTGCTGTAAGGAGGCGGAAAATCATTCACAGCTTCCAGATTTTCACCAGGCTCCTCTTCATTCTGCAACTGAACAGAAATATTTTGAGTTTAACACAATCAGGGCAAGATTAAAAATGCAAATCTGCTCCCAAACAAAAAAGAAATAAAGTTAACTGCTATGCCAAGTATACAGATTACAAATCACCACTGTTTTTAAAGCAAACAAATGTTTTGCAAATCAATTACTGTTATTCTCGAAGGCTTTCACAGCTTTCACAGCCAGGATCCGATGGTTGTTGTGGGTTTTCCGGGCTGTTTGATGCTGTTCTTAAGGTTATTCTTTCTAAAATTTCTGAATCTGCCTTAGAAATGTTAGGAAGAAAAACCTTAAGAATTTGGCCAAACAGCCTGGAAAACAACCAAGGCAATTAACATGAGTGATTTAAATCTCCATCTAACTTCCCAACAGTTCCGCACAACTAATTTAAATTACTGATAGTGTATTTTTGTGAACATACATACATTCTACCTGGCTGCTATCATATTAAATTTTACTGACTGTGCAGATTAGAAGTATAATCCAAATCATTCGGACATACAGAGGGTGTGCTTTTTATGCAACAGACCTGTCTGTGTAGAGGCAAGAACAGATACAGTAATTGGCTGAATCTCTATGTATGCATGCAGGTGTATTGAGCAAAGCATTATACTTGATAGCTATGCCTACAATCAAATGTACACCTGGAAATTTAATCTCACTGACTAAATCGGAATTTAGCATCATGTACAGGATCAAGCTGTAAGTATTCACAACTTCCCAGAAGTTAAAGCAAAATAATCTTTATGCATGAGAAACAAAGTAAATAATGTTTTGCCTGGTGGTGTCATAATATTCATGGTTAGAAATCTATGAATGCTTCATAACTCCACCACTGGATTAAAACAGTTTCATTAAAGTACTGCACATGACTGTGGTGAGTTGGATGACATCTTCTATGATGCCTCCAATGCATATGCCATGATTGCAATGTCCTGTTCAAGTAGGACACTGACTAAATATGTAATAAATGGACAGGTTACTTGCCTGTAAACATGGTTCTTCAAGTGGACCTCTATGAATACACACCAGTGGGTTAAACAGCACCTGCGCTGGTCCTCTCGGAATATTCTAGAGCTATAAGAAAAGTAACAAAGTTTGAGTTGCCCTGCATCGCGCATGCTCTGCCCATCAAACCTCAGTTCCATCTGCCCGCCACAGAGTCGGAGTTGGACTCGACCATACAGTGACAAACAGTGGGGAGGCTGGGCGGGATGTGTGTATTCATAGAGGTCCACCTGAAGAACCGTGTTTACAGGTAAGTAACCTGTCCTTCTTCTACGTGGCCTCTATGAATCCACACCAGTAGGTAACTAGCAAGCTCACTTACCGGAAAGAGGGCTGTCGCTGCAGGATTGATGTAAGCACTGCTCTCCCAAACTTGGTCTCATTCTTGGCCCGGAGGTCCAGTCAGTAATGTGTAACAAAGGTAGACACATTGGACCAGGTAGCTGTTCTGCAAATGTCCTGGATGTCAACACCTCGCAGCAGGGCCGTGGATGTGGCAACAGCTCTGGTGGAATGAGCTCTAAGACCTTCAGGGAGAGGCTTGTTCTGCAATTCATAGGCCAGAGAAATGGTGAAAACCAACCATCTGGACAGTGTAGAAGACAAGGCAGCGGAACCTTTATGCTGACCGTAGAAACAGAGGAACAGTCTTTGAACTTTCCTAAAGTCTTTAGTTCTAGTGACATAATAAGCCAAAGCCAATGTTCTTCAAACATCTAAAGAATGGAGCATGCGCTCAACATCTGAAACTGGATCAGGAAACAACGTCGGTAATACTAAAGGTTGGTTAATGTGAAACTCGGAAACCACTTTAGGGAGGAAAGAAACATCAGGGTGTAGTACCACCTTGTCTTTGAAAAACTGAAGGTATGGAGAGTCTACACAAAGTGCTGCCAATTCACGAGCTCTAGGAGCAGAAGTGATGGCCACCAGGAATAAAGTCTTGAATGAGAGCAAGCGAAGGTCACAGGAAGCCATTGGCTCAAAAGGATGGTGAGTGAGGCAATGAAGCACCATTTGCAATGGCCATTGCGGTACAGGTTTCTTTAGAGGAGGTCTCATGTTTGACAGACCCTTGAAGAAAGCTTTTAGTGTGGGGTGTGAAAACCACCTGGATGATTCACAGCCATAGGGCTGAAAAGCAACAATGGCTGAGGTGTAGACTTTTAAGGTAGACTTGGAAAGTCCCAGATCAAACAGATGCCTGAGATAGAGCAGGAGTGTAGACAAGGCCACAGGTGAAGCCTGCAACTTGCGCTCCTTAGTGAACTTGAGAAAGTTCTGCCACTTGTATTTGTAAAGAAGCTTGGTCGCTGGCTTTCTTGCTTTATCAATAACCTCCTTTATTGATGGGAAATCCTCCACGCTGTCAAGTGGAGGGATTCCAAGTCCGGATGAAGGATGTTCCCTGAGTTCTGAATGATCAGATGTGGGAGAAGGGGCAACCTTATCTTGTCCACCGCTGATTGCAGGAGCATGGAGAACCATGGTCGTCGTGGCCACCTGGGAGCAATGAAGATTGCTTCCGCCTCCATCTGGAGTGTCCTGATTAGGGCTCTTTGAATGATGGGTATCGGTGGAAAGAGACAGAGGAGGCCCTCGTTCCACGGAACCATAAAGGCATCCCCTAGTGACCCCTCACCCTTTCCTGCGCAGGAAGCGTATTTGTTGCACTTCTTGTTGGTCAGCGTCGCAAACATGTCTATTGATAGATGTCCCCACCTGTGGCACAGACTGAGGAACACATTCTGATCGAGTTCCTACTCGTGAGATTGAAACGACTGGCGGCTCAACTCATCTGCCAGCTGATTGTCATGGATACATGAATGGCCACGGGGAAGATGTGCTGTTGGTAGCACTACTCCCATAGGTGGACTGACAGGAATAGAAGGGACTTTGACCGTGTTCCTCCCTGTTTGTTTATATAGAACATGGTCGTAGTGTTGTCTGTGACCACCTGTATTGCTCTGCCCTTTACCAGAGGGAGAAATGCTCTGAGCGCTTTCATCACCACTATCAGCTCCAGGTGATTGATGTGGAGAGAAGCTTCTTGAGGGGACAAAAGGGCATGAATCTAGTGCCCTTTGCAGTGAGCTCCCCAACCTAGGGGACTGGTGTCCGTTGTGACCTGACATGTCAACTGTAGGGGTCGAAAAGGTCGTCCTATGAGAAGATGTGGTAGGAATGTCCACCACTGAAGTTGCTCTGCTAGATCTGGAGTGACTGTTAGGCGCTTGTGCTGACTGTCTTGCAGAGGATCGAATAGAGTGAGCAACCAAGACTGGAGGGAGCGCATCTTGAGGCGAGCGTGGGATAAGGTACATGTTGTTGATGCCATGAGACCCAGAAGATGTTGTGCAAGCCTTGCTATCACTCTGCCTGAGGCTTGAATTTTTGAACTGCCCTTGTTATTTTTCGAATGCGCTCCGGAGGCAGGAACATGCGAACATGGATCGAGTCCAGTCTTGCCCCAATGTAGTCCATCACTTGAGATGGTTCCAAGTGGGACTTTTCGTAGTTTATGGACAGGCCTAGCAATTGCAGAGTGTGAAGAACATACTGTGTGTCCTTGATTGCTTTTGCTTTGGATCTGGACACCACCAGCCAGTCGTCGATATACAGGTAAATCTGTATCCCTTGTAGACGGAGGTAAG